CTGCAACCCGGCTTTTGCGCTTTCTTCTTTCACCTTGATTAGAAGGCTCCTCAGCTCCTCCTCGCTTTCGGCCATCAGAGTGGTGTCATCTGCATATCTGAGGTTGTTAATGTTTCTTCCAGCAATTTTCACCCCACCTTGCATTCATCAAGCCCCGCACATCGCATGATGTGTTCTGCATACAAGTTAAAAAGGTTGGGTGAGAGTATGCAGCCTTGCCGTACGCCTTTCCCAATCTTGAACCAGTCTGTTGTTCCGTGGTCAGTTCTGACTTGCTACTTGGTCCTTGTACAGATTCCTCAGGAGAGAGACAAGGTGGCTTGGGATGCCCATCCCACCAAGAACTTGCCACAATTTATTATGATCCACACAGTCAAAGGCTTTAGAATAGTCAATGAAGCAGAAAGAGATGTTTTTCTGAAACTCCCTGCCTTTCTCCATTATCCAGCGGATATTGGCAATCTGGTCTCTCGTTCCTCTGCCTTTTCTAAACCCAGCTTGAACATCTGGCAACTCTCGCTCCATGTATTGCTGGAGTCTTCCTTGCAGGATCTTGAGCATTACCTTACTGGCATGAGAAATAAGGGCCACTTTACGGAAGTTTGAGCAGTCTTTCGCATTTCCCTTTTTGGTATGGGGATATAAGTTGATTTTTTCCAGTCTGATGGCCATTCTTGTGTTTTCCATATTTGCTGGCAAATGGCATGCATCACCTTGACAGCATCATCTTTTAAGATTTTAAACAGTTCAGCTGGGATCCCGTCATCTCCTGCTGCCTTGTTGTTAGCAATGCTTCTTAAGGCCCATTCAACCGCACTCCTCAGGATGTCTGGTTCTAATTCATTCACCACACCGTCAAAACTATCCTCGATATTATTATCCTTCCTATACAGATCTTCTGTATAGTCTCGCCACCTTCTCTTGATCTCTTCAGCTTCTGTTAGGTCCCTGCCATCTTTGTTTCTTATCATACCAATTTTTGCCTGAAATTTACCTCCAATGTTTCTAATTTTCTGGAAGAGGTCTCTTGTCCTTCCTATTCTGTTGTCTTCTTCCACTTCCATGCATTGCTTATTTAAAAATAGTTCCTTATCTCTTCTGGCTAACCTCTGGAATTGTGCATTTAACTGGGCATATCTCCCCTTATCCCTGTTTCCTTTTGCTTTCCTCCTTTCTTGGGCTACTTCCAGTGTCTCAGCAGACAACCATTTTGCCTTCTTGGTTTTCTTTTTCTTTGGAACGTACTTTGTTGCCGCCTCCTGAACAATGTCGCGGACTTCTGTCCATAGTTCTTCTGGGACTCTGTTTACTAAATCTAGTCCTTCAAATCTGTTCTTCACTTCCACTGTATATTCGCTAGGAATGTTAGTGAGATCATATCTAACTGGTCTGTGTATTTTCCCTGATCTCTTTAGTTTTATTCTAAATTGAGCAATAAGAAGTTTGTGATCTGAGCTACAGTCAGCCCCAGGTCTTGTTTTCACCGACTGGATGGATGTCCGCCACCTTTGGCTGCAAAGGATGTAGTCAATCTGATTTCGGTGTTGACCATCTGGTGAGGTCCATGTATAAAGCCGTCTTTTAGGTTGTTGGAAGAGAGTATTCGTTATACACAGCGAGTTTTCCTGGCAAAATTCTATCAGCCTGCGTCCCGCTTCATTTTGTTCTCCCAGACCATGCTTGCCTGTGATCCCACTTGTCATTTGACTTCCCACCTTGGCATTCCAGTCTCCTGTAATGAAAATAATGTCTCTTTTTGGTGTATTATCCAGTAGGTCCTGCAGATCCTCATAGAACTGATCTACTTCTGCTTCTTCAGCAGCTGTCGTTGGGGCGTATATTTGGATCACTGTAATGTTGAAAGGCTTTCCTTGCACTCGAATTGAGATCATTCTGTCATTTTTTGGGTTGTATCCAAGCACCGCTTTAGCGAATTTCTTATTAATTATGAAGGCTACTCCATTTCTTCGATGTTCCTCTTGTCCGCAGTAGTAGATCTGGTGGTCATCTGATGTGAAGTGGCCCATTCCAGTCCATTTCAGTTCGCTGACCCCCAGAATGTCTATCTTTAGTCTTGACATCTCACCAATACCAACATCCAATTTGCCCTGGCTCATAGATCTTACATTCCAGGTTCCTATGGTGTGTTGATCTTTAGAGCATCGGATTCGTCGTTCACCTCCAGTACCGTCGGCGGCTAGCCTTCCTTTCGGCTTTGAGCTAGCTGCGTCATCACATCTGGGGGTAGTTGAACTTATCCTCTGCTCCTCCCCAGTAGCATTTTGGCCATCTTCCGACCTGGGAGTCCCATCTTCCAATGGCATACCGACATATCTCTGGTTGTACTGGTCCATTTAGTTTTCTTGGCAAGGATACTGGAGTGGTTTGCCATTGCCTTCCCCAGGGATCACGCTTGGTCTGACCTCTCTGCCACAACCGTCCCGTCTTGGGTGTCCCTTCACGGTTTCGCTCATGACATCATTGAGGTGCTCAAGCTCCAGCGCCCCGACAAGGCGGTGATCCTTTGCTGGAGGAACATGCACTACAGCACCTTTAAACTGAGATAAGCAAAGTTAAGGATATTCTGAAACAAATCCCTTAATATGCATCATTGCTCTTCAGCATTAAACATATTGCACCACTCTGCAGAATGTAAATTGCTATGCAGATACCCAAAGCAATCTGCTGATATGCATATGCACATTGGGGGGGGGGGGGGGTTGAAAAAACTGCATTTTCTGCCAAGCTGCGGATCCTGGAAGTTGTTTGTGGCAAGCTTTTGCATTGCTTGTAAGCGCCATCCAGCCCCCAAATTGGTTCCTAGCTTGCAAAGTAATCATCCACACAGTGAAGCCACCTCCTTCTTTGCTGATTTCACTATGCTAATTAAGTGGTCATATGTGCCCGTAATTAGGGTGTGAACCAAAAATGAAGTTGCACAATTCTGGTAGCAATGGAACAATTCAAGGAGAATACCCTTATTGAATATGGGGACTTTAGGTGCTAAATAAATGTTGTACTTATGTCAGGACTTTTTCATACTCGGAGATAAAAAGTGTATTCATAAATATTGGGACAATGGTTGAAAAACATTTTTATGTGTTACAAATTGAATCCTGGACTGCTGAAAATTTCGCAGTTTTGTTCTTATTCTGCACAAAATTTGCATTTTTCTTCACAGGAAACAACATGTTTTGGGTGTGGAAATGCTTTGATGTGGCACATCATAAGAAAGACAGAAAATGTTGACCTGCCTTTACCTTGCTTCCATCATCCTCAACTTGCAGCATGTCTCCATCAAAATTCTCTAATAAATATGACAGAAAAATACGTATTTTTTTAAAAGGATGAATATAAGAGAAAGGGAAGCAGAGGATTATCAGTGGTCAGTTCTTAAAAGCATGAGTTGTAATCTTTTTATATGTAACAATGAATTCTCCAGATAGATGAAATAGGTTCGGAGATTGTTGAAGGTTGTGGTATTTGTTGCTGCAGTTCTCAGAGATTCTTAAAATCCCAAGAAGTGCTAAACAACAAAAAGAAACAATGTTCAACAGAACAGAATATTAAAACTTACACACCTTCTTCCTATTTTCTGGCAATTTCCAACACTAGGTATAACATTTATTTTCATTCTTCAGTAGATTCTGACACAGATTAAAACCAAACAGTATCTTTCTCCTTTGCTTGCTTTCTTTTAAATTTTTTTATAGAATCATTAGTATTATTTTGCCTCAGTAACAAGATATTTTTTTTCTTTATAATATTTTAACATTAAGATTTCCTTAAAAAATCACATGTCTTCATTTGTCAAGTCTGGGAGTCCACAATATATGCCCATGGACCGAATCTGTCCCCCAAGACCTAAACTTCAGACTGCTATGGCCGCCATTCGTGCCCTGTTGTAGCCACCATCTTTGTCTTGCTCCTTATTAACTCACTCTTCTGTTCTTTCCCTTCCTTCCTCTATCTTGCTTCAAAATACTCTCCACCCCCACTTGCTTCTTAAATTTCCTTTCTTTCTTTTCCTTTCTCTATTTCCCTCTAACATGGAGGGAATCATCCCCATACCCCTGTTGCTTCTTAACTTTCATTTCCTCCCCTTTTCTCTCATCTTCTTTCTTCTATTTCCCCCCAAAATGGAAGGAATTTTTCCATCTCATTTTTTTCTCCATCCAAAATGGGGAGAAAGAAAGAAAAAAGAAAAAATGAGAAAGAAAATGAGGCAGGAAAAAAGAGAGGGAAGGAGGGAAGAAGAAAAGGAAGAAGGCATGGAACAGAGAGAGAAGGAAGGGAGGGAAGGGAGAAAGAAAGGTATGTAGGAAAAAGAGAAGGAAGGAATTTATTATGTGTGGCATAGTGGTTTGAACAAACTGTGGCTCTGAAACTCCTGGGTGACTTTAGCTAAGTCTTACACTCTCAGCCTTATATGAAGTCAAAGGCAAATTTCCTTAGAATAAATATTGACAAGAAAACTCTGTGATAGAATTGCCTTCGGATTGCCTTAAGTCTGAAACAAATTGAATGCACACAACAACAACAAACTATAGTCTGACCTCCCAAAAGTCTGAGGGACCATGAACTGACCCTCTATTTAAAAGTTTGAGGATCCCATTACTTTTGCAAAAGTTTGAAACAGAGAACCAATAGCAATCACTGATACCCAGTCATTTCAAAATATTCATTGGGTTGATGGATCCCCTTCTTCTCCATCTCTCATGCTTGTGTACTTACAGATAGCAAGCAAAGGTTTTAAACTTTAAAAGTCAACTTTTGAGAATGAAGGGATTTGCCTCCCTGGCAAGCTATACTGATAGGTTACTATGTACTGCCATCCTGTGGCATAAAAAGTCAAAGGAAGAATGTCTAAGCAAAACTTCTATATGGAATATTGCTCTCGGATTTTTCCATTTGAGTATCTATGGGAAGAAATAGGAAGAAATATGACAAAATCTGAAAAATAGTACAGTCATTGTGACATATCAAGGTTGAGGTATATGGTGCTCACTTCGGCAGCACATATACTAAAATTGGAACGATACAGAGAAGATTAGCAAGGTTGAGGTATATGTATTTTTCAGCTGGCATTTGGAAATGAATCAGTTTTTCTGACAAAGATCTTTTGTTTGTATATATAAATGTGGTTTGATGGACAAAAATGCAGCAAACAAAGTTTCCATTGATTTCAGCATTTCTGTAATGCAAGAAGCCTGGAACTGGCAATATGCCTAAATCAGAGATAATAATGTGTCAATTTAATGCGGTGCTAGGCTGCACTTCAACACATTTAACTCACAATGCTATGACTTGAGAGTGACTGGGGAATCATCCTTGCGCAGGCCACATATATCTGCAAATAATACATTTGAAATTTAATTTATTGTGAAAATATTGATATTAAGAGGAAAAAAAGTATCTATTTGAGAAAATAAGGATCAGATCTGAGAATCCTTGGTAAAGGCTACTTACTAGTGCTTACAGGTTCTTGACTGGACCTGCTAGAAGGGAGAATCAAACAGTTCATGGAGCTAAACAACAGAGAGGAAAAAACCAGGCACAGATTAACACCTCCCAGCAACAGATTTTCCCAGACTCAGACAGGCCTTCAAATGCTAATGAAGGTGATCAGCTAAACATTCACACCTAACTGCAGCAGGGAAGAGCTCCTTGCCCCACCCCAGCCATTCCACAGATATATAAACCCATTTTTCCTACTTCCAACAGACCTTCTCAACCTCTGAGGATGCTTGCCATAGATGCAGGCGAAACGTCAGGAGAAATGCCTCTAGAACATGGCTCTATAGCCCGAAAAAACCCACAAGAACCTAGTTCATGGAGTCTTTTCAATGGCTGTTATTCAGGATGGCTATAGAGGGCCTTTGCTATCTGCTGGAGTCTGGTTCCAGGGCTCTCTTATGGATATTAAAACCACTGGTTGTTCAAGTCCCATCATAGACGATGGAATATTAAAATTATATCCCTTATATAGAGAATGTCCCTTATATAGAATGGAAAGCTTTTCTTTTCTTTTCTTTTTTTTTCTTTTTCTTTTTAAAAATCAAACTATGGATGGTTGAATTGGGTTCAGAATTTGTGGACATGGAGGGCAAGCTATATATCACTTCCTCTATCGAGGGCTGCATGATATTGTATATCACTTGCCAGAGTTGCAACTCTTTAGAAAGCCCTGGAGCCTATTCCTTTTTCAAAGTCCAGGGTTCCATTTTATGCCAACATGGCAGTTAAAGTGGCATCATAGTGCTATGATTGTGTAAGGTGAAATGAATCATGGACACAATTATATGCTATTAAGATTTTTGTTAGTAATTCTTACGATATGATTCATGCACACAGAGATATAGTATCATAGATTTGAAAGGGACCCCTAAAGGACAATTAAGTGTTGCATGTTCCAGAGTAGGCAAACCAGACAATCTCCGCATCAATACTGACAAAGAAACAGCCAGAAGTGCTGTTTACCCACAAGCATAAAGAAATTCCATATATTAGAAACCAACATTTTCTCGTTACTTTATTTTCCAGATCACCAGACTGGACCACAGCAATGCGTGGCAGGGGACGGCTAGTTGTCAAGAAAAAGTATAAATCCTCCTCAATTTTTTTTATCTATAGGAAGGACAGGTCAACATTTTGGTTAAAGTATTTTTATCAGCATTGGGAGAAAGTGTAAGTAACAGATTTGCCCCTTACCTGGGAATTGGTGAAGATTTCTACTGATTTTGAGCAGTGTTTCTCAAACTGTGCTCCTCCAGGTGTTTTGGACTTCCACTCCCAAAAATCCCAACCCAGCTGTTAGGAATTCTGGGAGCCAAAATCCAAAACATCTAGAGAAGCACCATTTGAGAAACACTGATTTAGAGGATTTTTTTAATTTTTAAAAAATCAGAATTCACAAATGTTAATAAAATGCAAATATGGAAGAAAGTAAAATTGGTGGATTCCCATCCTTTGTTTGTAGGGACCTGGTTGTTTGGGTGGTATGGTGATATCTTGACTTTAATTCTTTTAATTGAGTTTAATTTGTTCTGTGAGCTCTTAACTTAAATGCATTAGGTAAAGGTTTTCCCCTGACATTAAGTCCAGTTGTTTCTGACTCTGGGGGTTAGTGCTCATCTCCATTTCTAAGCCAAAAACACCTCCAAGGTCATGTGGCTGGCATGACTACATGGAGCACTGTTACTTTTCCGCTGGAGCAGTACCTATTGACCTACTCACATTGGCATGTTTCTGAACTTCTAGGTTGGCAGAAGCTGGGGAGCTCACTCCGCTCCCTTGATTGAAACTGTGACCTTTTGGTCAGAAAGTTTAGCAGCTCAACAGTTTAAACTACTGCACCACCTAATCTGTTCCAGCTCCCCAAACCCACCCATCCCCAAATGTTTTTATTATGTGTTGTTAAATTTAAAAAATGTACTTTATAAATAAAAAATAATGTATAAATGCACATTCACCTGGAACAATAAAAAATCAACTTTAAAATACTAGAAGCACAAAGTTGTGGTAAGGAATCAGAAAGAACATAGTGAAGCACAATTTTCTTCATGCTATATTCATTTCAGCCTCCCTCCCTCTATTGCTCTCTCCCCCTCTGTTTCTTCATGCAGCCAAAGATATGAGGAATAAAAACCACACAAAATCAACTAACCCAAAGTTCACCCAAGCAGAGAAGAGCAAAGGAGACAGCAAATTCCCAAAGTGGACAGGGGGACGCCTGGCTCGAGAGCAGTACGTGTGAAAAAGATCTTGGAGTCCTCGTGGACAACAGGTTAAACATGAGCCAACAATGTGATGTGGCGGCAAAAAAAGCCAATGGGATTTTGGCCTGCATCAATAGGAGCATAGTGTCTAGATCTAGGGAAGTAATTCTACCCGTCTATTCCGCTTTGGTTAGACCACACCTGGAATATTGTGTCCAATTCTGGGCACCACAATTGAAGAGAGATATTGACAAGCTGGAATGTGTCCAGAGGAGGGCGACTAAAATGATCAAGGGTCTGGAGAACAAGCCCTATGAGGAGCGGGTTAAGGAGCTGGGCATGTTTAGCCTGAAGAGGAGGCTGAGAGGAGATATGATAGCCATGTATAAATATGTGAAAGGAAGCCACAGGGAGGAGGGAGCAAGCTTGTTTTCTGCTTCTCTGGAGACTAGGACACGAAACAATGGCTTCAAACTACAAGAAGGAGATTCCATCTGAACATGAGGAAGAACTTCCTGACTGTGAGAGCTGTTCAGCAGTGGAACTCTCTGCCCCGGAGTGTGGTGGAGGCTCCTTCTTTGGAAGCTTTTAAACAAGGCTGGATGGCCATCTGTCAGGGGTGATTTGAATGCAATATTCCTGCTTCTTGGCAGGGGGTTGGACTGGATGGCCCATGAGGTCTCTTCCAACTCTTTGATTCTATGATTCTACAAGTGCATGAGGCATGGAGGCTTCTCCCTTGAATTCCTAAAACCCTGTATGCTGGTGCTAGTGCTCCCTCTAGCGCTAGCTCTTAACTCAAAATGCCACTTGTATGTCAAAGCAAAACCTGGACAAAGTGACTGCTCTTAACGGAAAATGCTCTTAAGTTGAGATGCTCTTAAGTTAAGGTTCCACTGTATTTAAGTTTTTTGGCACCATCTCCACTGACCACTTAACTCAGTTCAAAACTAGCTTCAAAATACAGCAGCCAGACAATAAACTCCCACAAAAACACACAAAAGAAAACTTTCAATGTGTATCAGTGCTCTTTGGTTTGTCTAATCACCATCCAGGCCTCAAACTGGTTCCAAGATTTCCTATGTTATCATCTGCACAGCGAAACCACTTCTTTCAATAACATGTTGGAACTTCATTTTGGTCAGTATAGATGGGGCCTTTGATTAGCAGAATAGGAACCAATAGTCATAAGTTTGTAATTCTACAAAGAAAGCCTCCTGAACAATTGTGCTGTCCACCATGTCTGAGGACCTCTAATTTGGCCACCGAGGAGAAGTAGTGAAGAGGAGAAATCATATTTGTTCTTCACCAAATCATTGTGTCTTTGGCTTCCTCTACGATATACTGCAGCTTGAAACTGCAGTATATGGTTAGTGTACACTCAGATAATGCAGTTAAGTACAGAAACTGCATTATATGAGTTTGGAACTGGATTTATATTTTTATTGTTGATGTTGGTTACTTGTGTTTTGACTATCTTGTTTGTTTTTATGGATTTTATGTGTTATTATTTGTTATTTTATTTTTAAATGTTTTACTGTATTGTGAGCCACCCCGAGACCCTTGGGGAGATGGGGTGGGGTATAAAGATTATTATTATTATTATTATTATTATTATTATTATTATTATTATTATTATTATTATTACATGGCAGTGTAGATGGGTCCTTGGATGTCCTTACTCCTTTCTAAGAAAAACATGGAGTTAAAGACAGGTTGCTTTAGAATATTGCTGCACTGAGGGTACATTCAGTGTCTCTTGCAAAGTTCTGTGCCAGTTATTAAAACCTCTATAAAAATGAGTAGGAGTACAAGTAGAATTCTTCTGCCCACAAAAGCAGAAATTGGATATTTCCCCAATGGCCAGAGTGACTCTTTTTATCTGGGCTGCAACATTTCAAGAATGACTGTTACTGGAGCAGGTAGACGATTGGAGGTGCCAGGCTATTCACAAAGTATCTCATGGGAAACCTTCCTGAAAGGAGTTCAAACTGATATGACCAGAGGCAAGCCATATTACCAAGCAGAACATGCCTTGTCTGGGTAAGGATTGCAGTACTGTATTTCTTTGTTGCACAACAAGGGTACAATAAAAGCTAAATGAATTATACTCTTTCATTTTGACTGGGAGTGAAGACTACAAAGTGGCAGGTTAGTTACTGAAACATCCGTGTATGACAACTGTAATAAATCCTCAGGGAAACAGAATCAATTAAATTTAGATGGTGGATAGCCAAGTCAACCAACAATAAAAGAGATCAATTGAAACAACATCTATATCCTTGACTCATAGGTTTCACTGTGGTCTCACTGAACAATTACTGCCTTGTCACTGTGGAAGTTACGAGAAGAATTACAGGCCTCCCTGTGTCTAAATGAGCTGCAGAAGA